TATGTTCCCAGGATGTAGGCTCCCTATTTACCTCTCTTATTGTTTCTTTTGCTGAGAAAAAACTTTTTAGTTTGAGTAAGTCCCATTTGTTGATTGTAGTTATTAACTCTTGTGCTATGGGTGTCCTATTGAGGAATTTGGAGCCCGACCCCACAGTATGTAGATCATTGAAGCTGAGTTTTCAGTGCCGGCCATCAGCCCCAAACTCTCTTGGGTGAAGAAAGAATAAAGATAAGTCAAATAATATGCTGTGACGGGCCGAACCATCTTTCCTTTCATTCCAGCTCACCTCCTCTCTTCCTGCACCATTATTTCCCATGTCTGATTCTACGCTTAAAATCAACTTAACTATTAGGAATAAAAAATGAAGAAAGGGCTGTGGACACTCATAGAAAAGGTTACAAAGAAGAGACAAACTTTTAATTCCACATAAAAGTTTACTAAATGACTTCATCCATATTATCTTGTATAATTGTTTGTGTTTTACAGATAGGGAAACTAAGTCCCAGGATATGAAATAATTTATTTGTGCAGAACCACAAAGTTAAATAAATGTCAGAGCTGCCACTTGAATCCAAATCTTCTGGCTACAAATCATATCTTTTACTCAAAAGACTTAGACATCAATGAGTACTCCTACTGTTAGCATATTGAGAGTATTTTTCTTTTAAGTGTATCATGATTTTATTGTTACATTTGTAATTATAGGTTTTTCTAAGGTCACTTCAGTTATTATTACTGAGTCTGAAATCACAAACTATCTAGATGAATGCATTTAATCCACTTTAATAAATATTTAGTGTCTTAGATAAATAAAATGTTGGCCACCACACCCTCAAGAAGCAGAGAAAGCATTTATGTAAATATATAGATGAAATGTTTTGTGATAGATTCTGTAATGGATGAATGACTAAAATAAGGAAAAATACAGAGCATTAGTTCTTGAACCCCAAAATGCCTCAGAACCCCCTGAAGGGCTGTAAAAAATACATTTTTGGCCCCATAATCAGAGTTCTGAACTCAGTAGCTATGGGATGGCTCCCAAGAATGTGAGTTCCTAATGAATTCCTGGGTAGTATTGATACCACTGGTCCAGAGAACACACTTGGAAAGCTGACATTTTATTCCATCTGGAAGAGTCAGAAAAGATATTATAGAAATGACATCCAGATAAATCTTAAAGAATTAGAAGGAATTTGCATCTGGATAGAATCGCATTTAGTAGATGGAATAGCACATATTAAAGGGTATAGATAGGTAAAACAACAGGTGAACACAAAATATTTTTTTTTTTGCTACAATCAAAAGAGAAGTAGACAATAATGAGAGATGTAGCTGAGCTCATGCTATGCTAGGACACATGGCCTTTGTCCTATAGGCTGTGCAGAGCCCCTGAAGGATTTGAAATGGAAACACACTTAAATCACATTTGTATTTTGGGAAACTAATTCTAGTGCCAATATGAAGGCTTGGAGGAAATTCCCACTTACTGCCTAAACATGAAAAAGCTCTTTTGAACATCTATAGAATTGTGCCCAAGAGTAGTAAAATGTATGTACATCCTGGTATTTCCCTCAGTTAATTAGTCCTTATGTGCCATGCACACGAAGAAGTCAAAGACATCATCCTTTCCCACGAGAATGTATGGGAACCAACCCTTATACAGAGGAAACAACCAAACACAAGACAAGACAGAAATTTACCAAGAGAAGACTTGAAAAAGGCCAGCTAGGGAAAAAACAATCAGCCAGGGCTTTGTGGAGAAGGCACGACAAATACAGACCTTGGTATTGCATGGCTAGAATAAATCATTGCAGGCAAGAGGGACCCTGGAGTAAAGGAATAGAGGGAGAACTAGACTTTGGATGGGCAGGACATTATAGAAGCTGGGGCACCTGGTTAAATTCTGGCAAGGACTCTTCTTGAGACATGGTAGAAAAGTGGAAAAGAAGTTTATATAAGAAAGAATTTTCCCACAGTGAAAATAACCTCTGGAAGATTCTAGAAAAGGAATACATTAGGACAAGTTAGTGAAAGGAAATACACACTGTGTTTCTCCAACAACATCAAGCCCTCTCTCACTTCTTATCACCCAAGGATAATAAGAATCAAGAGAAGAGGCTATAAAACTTGGATTGGTGGACAGCAAACAAGGAAAATGCATTGGGCTTTGGTTCTGATGGGGCCAAAATGACAATAGTTTACTGCCCTGGGAGCTGGCCATTGTCCTGACAATGAGGTAGTTGGCCATCTGACAGCTGCTTATAAAAGGCCATCTGTCTTATGAATTGGGATGAAGGCCTGGGAAGTCTTCCGTTTTAGCTCCCAGATGGTAGCACAATGTACTCTCACAAGGGAGATTCCTGGGTTTTGTGCTCATTCCCAAATTTGTAAATATGAAAATGTTTTTTGCATGTTGATTTTGTGAATTGTTTCCACTGTATTTCTTCCCATCACATCTTAACCATCTTTACAGAGTTCCTTTAAGTTTGATCCTCTATCCAAATACAAATTACTTTTTTTTTCTAGTTTTTTTTTTTTTTATAAAAAATGACAGATTTGTTCAGGTCAGAGCTGATTTTACATTCCACACATCCTTAAAATTACCCCAGACTTTAATTTTCTGGCCAACGCATCAACCTTTCCTTAGATTGATATGCTTTTTTATGTCCATTCCCAGGAGCAGGACATGACTTTTCCTTCAAGGTCATTATCCCTCAAATGGCTAAGTTTTCATGTGAGGAATTCAAATGTATGCCTTCCCAGAAGTGACATTTTTATATAGCTGTGGGTGGTGGGGAGGGATGTAGGTTGAGGCAGTGGGCTACTCCGTTACGCTAGTCTCTGCCTGTGACCCCATCCCCATACCAGCCAGGCAGCTGGTGCTGTTCAAATTCAAACCTCATCAAATTAAAACTTACTGCACACGTGGGCTTTTGTGGTCAAAAAGGAAGAGTTGGAACAACAACTAATAAATCAGAGATCCTAATGAGTCTGATATTGGGATGGGAGCTAGGAGGCATGTGTCTAGAAATGCAGATAGGAGATCACCCATTTTAATAAGATGTATTTCATTAAAGTCAGTGAGCAAACCTTATTGAATTTGTCACTAACTATATTTAAACACAATCAATCTTAAATTTCCTCTATCTAGAATTTTGCCTTGGAAAAAAGAGAGAGAGAGAGAGAGAGAGAAGGAGGAAGAATATTTGTCGGAGAGTCATTCATGGGGTATTTGGAAAACAAAACAAAAAAAATTTAATTGAATTATAGTCTATGTAATTATTTAATCTCTATCAGTTGGTCCTATGAAGCTCCTATATTCCTTCAAGAGCTTGTACTTGGCCATAAACATAAATTATTTTATTAGTACCAAGAAAAATGTCTTCTCAATATTAACCTTGATGACCCGCCCCCCCACTGCTGCAAAGAATATTATATAAAAGGGGAAAACACTTTGGGTTTCCATTTTGGTTTAAGAGACCATCATCCCTCCATCTGCATATCTAGTGAACCTGCTAAAGTACCAGTAATCTCTGAGGAATGGCTAACATAAATAGGATGCTATTGCATCAGATAGGTAAGAATAATTTCTCTAATTAGTCATTTGAGATTTCATTTTTCACTTGGAAATACTGGAAATTTAATTTGTTTGTGAAGTGCAATTGGCAAACTGACAATAGGCACGACTGCACCCCCCTCCATCTTGCTGTGCTGATAGCCTGCAGAAAGCACTGGAGGTCTCCATGAAGATTCTTTGCTTCATCCATCAAAATCACACTAACTAAAGAACCTCCGTATTGAAAAATGTGTCCTAATTACACATTTCTCACTTGCAATGCTAGAATAATCCTAATGAGCTTCCAGTGATCATTTTTCTTCTAGAATAAATGTTTTCTCACAAGTCCCCCAAATTTTGTACTGGTGAAGTAATTTATGATACATTCTCATTTACATCAGAACATTGTTCTTAGAGGTACAGAGCAAAAATATTTTTAGTAAGCTGCATTTTACAAATTAAAGTATGTGCATAATTGAAGACAGTCCCTGCTTGGCCTTTGATTAAAGAAAGAGTTCATCCTATTTATTTTGTTTTAAAACACCCGTCTCTAAAGAAAGATTGATTGGCATCAAATGTACTCACCATAAATCATAGCTATTGATTTTACATTTGTTTTAGCTCTTCCGATTTTGTGTCTCCTATGTCATAATTTGTTATCCTGATAGCTAGCCCCTGAGTCAGTGCTTGGACTAAGCATGAAAGGTGGTTTCTTTCAATTCAGACTAATCTGTACGTGAAACACATGAGCTTTCAAACACAGAATCATGCTCTTCTCACTTTTTATGATATTACTCTGGTATTTCCCACAGAGACCACAGATGCTACAGAATAAAATCTGTGATAAGTGACAACATTAGGGACATTTGCATTGTCCAGTCAGCATCCAACACAGACGTGTCCCCTAACTGCCTTGGAAGCCAGTTGCTCCTCCACTTGGCTCTTCCTGTATAAAACTGATTCAGAATGCAAGTTTGCTTGGCATTATCAAGGCCCTGGATTTAGACCCTAGCACCACAGATAATAACAACAACAACAACAACAATGATAATAATAATAATAACTCCTCTGTTTTTCATAATGATACACAGTTGAGAATTCGGAATGCAAATGTTATAGCCATCTTCTGGAAGCTCTTAAGGTCATATAATTCTTCCATCTTTCCCAAGTAGCAGAAGTGAGGAGAGATGGAGCATCTGCTGGCTACATCCCACTTTGTTAGTTTAAGAAGGACTGTCAGCAGCCCTCTTTTTAATCTGCATCTGCTTAGATGCTTGTAGGTGAAGCTTAGGATGCTGCCATTTAAGGTATAATGAGATAAACTTCCAAAGCATCCAGGTATCTCTTCTTGTGTTTTTATTACCTCCCCCCAGCCTATTTGAATGAATGTTCTCATTTTAACTTGCTATTTTACACCTTTCTCCTTTGGCTTCCCATTCAGTATTCAGTCACATCACTCAAGACCATCCCAGAGCTGTGCCGAAGATGTGACTCGCAAAATGAAGACAGATCAGGTAAGTTGGGCTGCTCTTCTCTTTCCCCCATCCTGGCTTAAGGACTCCTGCAAAATAGTTTGCCCTCCTGATGGCTGCTCCTGCTTTCTGTTTTCATTTCCTTTGGCAATTTCTCTGCTCACACCCCCTCCCTGCCACCTTCAACAAATGGTTGTTAAGGTTATCCACAAAAGGATAACAGGACAGAGAAGCCCTAATAAGGACCCGGCTGTGTACAGATAAACTGTACATCATCTCAGTATCTCCAAACCACAGTGTATGCAGCAATTTACTGAAAACCCAAGAAGGCATTGGTGACAAAACATAATGATGCAGGCGCCAATGAAAAAATGTTGGATGTATTTACTACCCATATGGCAAGGACCAGCTTGGGGGATGGTGCTTTGCCAAAGTCTGAAACCCTATCAGGAGTTCGACATGATAGAATCTGCAATAAGGCATACTGTAACAGTTAAGATTAAAGAAAAGCTTTGGAGTTTAATAGTGTAAACTAAACAGAGAATTATGGCATATAGATGAAAACCAGCTGGTTGACCTTTTCTCCTTTCAGCCCCCTCCCTCAATAAAAAAAAAAAAAGTTCATTTAGGGTTTGTTTTTTCTCTGTGTAAATCAAATTAAGCTTTCTGCTTTTCTCACTGTGATGGGCAAAAATGAAAATAAAAAGGATATTGATGGGAATGATATCATGGTATTAAACTATGAAATGATGTTTATTGTTTTTTTTTCCCAGTAATTACCGTAAGGCATCACCATTAACCTTGCCAAGGCTGGACCTCCTCTCATAGTAAGGAGAGTTTGGAGAGCCATGGTTGGTGAAGGCTTAAGATAATCCTCAAATTATGTATATCATGTTTAAAAATAAAAAGACGTACCCTACCGAGACAGCTACCAGAAGTCCAGGCCTTTCTTACTCAAAGGACTTTTGCAAAGCTAATTTTTCCCTGGATTGTTTTCTTTCAACATTTTGCTTAGATGAGACAGGAAAAATAACTGGTCTCTGTGTGTTTATCTGCATGTTGTTTGTGAGTGTGAATGAAAGTGATGTACCCTTGTTTGGGTCAGAAAATAGCTTAAAGTTCAAATAAGACTTTTCATTTGCCCTTAGTTTGTTCTACCTTTTTATTTTAAAGATTCTCATGTTCTATAGGGTTTAAGAGAGGCTTTTCGTTGTAAGCCTTACAAAGCAGTATGTCCTTAAAAGGTAGCATTTGTTTCAAAGTTGAACCAATGACTGTGGTTAGTGACAGAGACCACAGACTGCAACAGAGAGGCCACCACGTTCAGAGACTAAAGACTAAAGACTAGGTTTCTTGTTAGAATCAGCCATTTAACAGCTACATGACCTTGAACCTGTGGCTATCTATAGAATAAAGAAGAAATTTCTTTTACCAAAGACACCAGGCTATTGTTAGGATCAAAATTGGGTAATGTATATTAAGGCATTTTGCAGATATAAAATTTTCTCTCTCATTTAATTAGAGGTGGAACATAAGAAAACTTAACAGCAAATGCTTTATTGTAAAGAAGTAGGCACTGTTAATGTACTCAGTATTTCTGTAAGTACTTTACTTCCGTTAACTACATTAATTCTAATAGCCCTGAGAGCTTAGTACTATTAGTAGTTTATACTATTGATGGGCAAACTGAGGAACAGAGATTAATATCTTGCCCAGAGTCACACAGCAATTAAGTCATAAACTGGGATTCAGACCCCAGGAAGTCTGCCTCCAGATTTTGTTCTCTTATTCTTTATATATACCACCTCTCAGATAAATGGACTTAGTGGCAACTATAGGATACTATCCTTTTAAAGCTGTTAAAATCTGCATTTTCCCTCCCATTAAGTGGTGAATTTCTTTTTCTCTGTTAAATAATTACTCTTACTTACCAAGTTAAGTGAATAAACAGAAACTTTCAACAATTGTTTTTCCTAGGGCTGGTTTATTCCTTTCTCTTCAGGCCTTGTAACTAACAGCCATGTCCATCATCTGGGATTCTAGATGTTCTTTTGCAGTGGTGAAGGAGGCCAGCTTCACATTCATGAGCATTTGCACTTCATCCAAAGCAAGGAACCAGGCTCAGGGTGATCAGAAATAATGAGATTTGCCAGAATATTGATGTACAAGGAAAAGGCTCAGACCTCTCAATGAAACCACATATACCACCTCCAACTTGATGGACCATTTGGAGGCAGTTTCCCAGCCTCCGAGTAGACAAAAAGTAATCCTAGAAAAAGACACACAAGACAAATTCACCCGTGTACAGCACTGCTGTATAATTAATTACATGTGGACTTTGAAAGAAATCTCAACATGGTAAAGTCAGAAGGCAAGTAGGATCATTACAGAGGGTAATATGGGGCCGCAGGAGCTAATGTGAAAGAATAGCTTAAGGGTTTTAGGGAGAGCTTAGAAGGTCAGGGAATACTGGAACAATCAGCCATGTGAAAGGCAGTGAAGAGGATTGGGGATTTAAGGCAAAGGAATTAAGGAAGGGCAAAATCCCTGAGCCAGGAATGATCTTAGCAAATATGAGGAAGAAAGCAAAACCTGTGAAGTGGCTGCATGTTGATCAGAACAGGAGTGATAAGAGGTGAGATCAGGGAGATGGCCCAAGCCAAACTCCCTAGGGAGTTCAGGTTTTCTACTAAGTGTAGTGAAAAGCACTACCAGCAGGATTCCAGTTTTTCTAAACCTCTATCACGGGTTGAGTATTCCTTGTGCAAAATGCTTCAGATTTCAGAGGTTTTTTTTTTTTTGGGGGGGGGGGGATTGGGGGATTTCTGCATACTTAAGTGGCTGAACATTCTTAATCCAAATATCCAAAATTTGCAAAGCTCTGAGAAACAAAACTTGTTGAGCATCATGTCAGCACCCAAAATGTTTCAGATTTGGGAGCATTTTGGATTTGTCAATTAGGAGCGCTCAACCTATACCAGGAAAGAAGCCTCAGCATGTAGAATCAGAGTTCTTAGTAAATAAGGGACTTTAAAAATCATCAAGTCTGAGAGAAAGAGTAAGTGAGAAAGTCTAAACAATAGAGCAAATGGGTAAACTGTTGACAATGGATGAGTGTGGATGAAGGAATATACAGCTGTTTGGGGGTAATGTTCTTAATTTTGCAACTATTAGATAAATTTATTTTTAATGGAAATTTTTAAACTATTTATAAATAAAAAGTTTTCTATAAGGTAAACAAACAAAAAGATATGTATTCCAAAGCCATTCTCTGAAGGTGATTCTTACTATCCCAACCCTGGGGTCACTCTGCCTGTATTTCATCACTTGGTGACAGGGAGTGCCCAGTCTTAGGATGCAGCCTGTTCATAAAGGTTAATGTTGTTATTCAGCCAAACTCAATGTCCCTTGACTTTCCACCCATCAACCCTCATTCTTCCTTGGAACTATTGAGAAGAACAATCTTCCATGACAAGAGTGCTGCTAAGTGTGTAGAGATAGCCATCAGTCTTGGTCTTTTCCAGGTTAACATTTCCCTCCAGTTTTATGTGCCTCCTGGTCATTCTTGTTCTCTTGTGGATGACTGTGGTTTTCCAGGGTCCCTCTTAAAGCTGAACACCCAGAAAAGAATCCAAAGGGGTCTTTCCAGATGTTCTGATCACAACCTGTGAGTCCCATGGAATAGCTCCTAGGATGTATTACATATCTTTTCTGCCTGCCCAGGTGGGCTCATCAGTTCTGCCTGCTTCCTGAGTGTAGAGGAGCAGGAATGTCAAGTAAGCCCTAGTTGTGGCCTTTTGGAAGCCCCTGTGCAAGGCATACAGCTAGGGCTTACCTCCTTCATCTCTGCATCTGGGCCAGCTCCAGTGGGGGTTCCCAGGAACTGCAGTGGGAGAGTGTTACAGGGGCCTGAGACCCAGCTCCTTTCTCCTCCCTCCAGCTCACCAAGGCCTGGAAATTCTTTGTTAGAGTGCCCTGCCTTTAATCAGAGACTTTGATTCCTATTGACATCTATATTTTTCCCTGACAAGAATAATGATTTAAGCTATTCTCTATTAATTACACAACTATCACTGGGCTTCAGATTTTTGTGAGAAGAGATTTTGAAAGGAAAGGTGAGGAAATTGGAGAAAATCACAGGCAAGTGAGGGGAGGCAGGGAAGGAATGAGAAGCCCTAGAACAGGCTGTGCTGGGAGCTGCACAGGTGCTGCTGAAGTATCTGAATTGTTTCTTAGATGTTGAGTGTGCCAGGCTTTATGCCAGGTCCTCTGTAAGCAGCCTGTGTATCCTCAACTGAATTCTCTGAGGGAGGACCATTGTGTTCATTTTATTGATGAAGAAACTGAGGTCTGCAGAGTAAATAATTTGTCCAAAAGTTCTGGAGTTAGCAAGTGAACTTGAAAGCATCTCTGCTGTCTCCAGGACTCCTATGAATTTTTGTCAACTGAGAAGTAATTTAGACCGTTAAAATCAGCATACTATAGTGATGCAGTCTCATCAATGATAATAGCAGCTCAACTCACAATTGCTAAGCTATGGAACCAACCTAGGTGCTCTTCAACAGGTGAATGGACATAGCTAATGTGATATATATACCCAAGGGAATATTATTCAGCCATAAAGAAGAATGAAATTATGGCGGTTGCCAGTAAATGGATAAACTGGAGACTATCATGCTAAGTTTAATAAGCCAATCCCAAAACAACCAAAAGCTAGATGTTCTCTCTGATAGGCGGATGCTAGCTCTCAATAAGTGGAGAGGAGGGAAGAATAGAAGTTCACTGGATTAGACAAAAAGGAATGAAGGGAAGAGAGGGGGGATGAGACTAGGAAAGACAGTAGAATCAATCACTCATAACTTTCTTGTGTTCATATATGAATACATGATCAGTGTAACCCTACATATGTACAACCACAAAAATGTGAAGTTGTACTCCATGTATGTATGTATATCAAAATGCATTCCACTGTCATCTATAACTTAAAAGAACAAACAAAAGATTTTAGAAAGAAGTAATTTAGTCTAAGGAATAACGTGTAG